ATGAGAAGATTAAAGACAAATGAAGCAGATATTCTCCTTTAATAGTTAAAGCCATGATGCTTATTTCTCTATTAGGATTAAATAGGACAAAAAAAATATTTATGGGCATTTTAAAGAAAATTCTGAAAAGTAGTTCAGAGATAAGAGTGAGAAGTAAAAGAGCTGAACAGGATAAATCTCTTACAGAGACTTACTTTCCATCTGTCTTTAAGTTTATGATATGCTTTACACAGAGAACAGAGAGCAAGTGTTTCCAACTTCCACAGGGGGTAATGAGCTCAAAGTTTTATATGATAGATTCATTTTATTTGTAAGAAGTGCCCTTACCGTGAGATTCATTACACATTGGAATGAGCTCCAGAGTAGGTTACTGATCTTAGCCTCTGGAAGTTTTTCACTATAGTGAGAGTCTCAATCATCTGTAATGTTTAAAGGCTGTTCCTTCAGTCAATCTAAATGAAATAAATTTCTTCACAAGATTAATTTATCACTTCAACTTCTGTGGTTTATCCTGTCATAAAGTATAAAGGGTATTTTACTTCCTGCCATGAAAGTATGAGAATGTGAATATTCAGATTATTAATTGTCATTTTTATGTATCATATGAAACCATTTTTCATCAGGCAGTTTCATGGTAAATAGTATATCAGTACTGATATGTTTACAGTATTTTTGCAGTATACATATTGCATTTTTTCTTCTTAAGTCATTAGTCAATTGGGATTTTTAAATGTTCCACAGTATAATATTGTTGTTATTGTTGTTATGTGCCGTCGAGTCAAACCCGACTCATAGCGACCCCTCCTTGGGTTTCCGAGGCAGTATCACTACGGAAGTAGGATTGCCCAACCTTCCTTCCGAGGAGTGGCTGGTGGGTTTGAACAGTATAATATTACACTTTGCAAATTATCAAGGGCAATATTAGGATTCCACAGTATAAAGGAAAAGATATATCATAGAACTTTTTAAAAAATATACATAACCAACTCACAGTGACCCTGTAGGACAGAGTAGAACTGCCTAATAGGTTTGCTAAAGCTATAAATCTTTGTGGAAGCAAGCAGACAGCTGCATGTCTTTCCTACAGGCCAGCTGGTGGGTTCAAACCACCCACCTTTTGGTTGGCAGTTGAGTGCTTTAAACTTTGTGCCACCACGGATCCTTAAAATTATACATAGACTGAATTATAAGAAAGTGGATTTTTTTGAGTTTTTCTTTTTTGCAATTATGAATGATTTTTCATACTATAATTTAACCACTAAGTGTCTTAACTTTTAAAGTTTCTGTTGCTCACTATGAAATTAATATAGTAAATGCAAAAATTAGAAAGGAACACAATCTCTTTGATATTACTTTTAGATTTGACTCAAAACAAAACCTTTCTTCCATATCAAGTGACCAATTCCCTGTATGTGCAGATACATAGCTGTGGTAGTTATGTTTGTGTGTCACCTTGGCTGGGCCTGGTGAGTGGCTGGGCAGCTGGTGGTAGATATGCCCCATGATGAGACTGGCAATCAACTCCATGGTGGTATCTACCACAATCAGCTGAGTAGCTGCCTTTGGGATGTGGTCTGCTTCCTGTATATAAGGAGAAGCCTTGGGAATGATCTCTAGCTAATGGCACACTTGGACCCTGCATGTAGCCATGTCGTTGTTCAGCAGCCCTCCATGCTCTGCCATGCTCTGCCGACCTTGGGACTTATAATTGACTTAAATTAATGGCCTTCCATGTGGTTTGGTAACATCAGGATTGTGCCTTTTTACTTGTCAACTTTGGGCTTCTCAGCCTCAGCAGCCAGCAGCTCTCTGAGTGAAGAAATGCCTCTAGCTCCAGTGGGCTGGGAGGGGGAGGCAGAGCTGGACCCCAAGGTTGAGGGGCTTTCACCCAGCCCCTAGAGCCTGGCACTTTGAACTTGGGCTTAAAGCCTCCAAACTGTAAGATAATAAACTCCTGTTTGTTAAGGTCATCCCATTTGTCGTATATTCCTGTCAGAGTGACACTAGGTAATCGGAACAATAGCTAAGGAAAAAAAAAAAAAAATGCATGTCTGAAATGAAAAGAAAAGGAAGATTTCCAAATGTCTTTGATAATCCAAGGCATATATAGACTACAGGAGAAATCACAGACATTCAGTGTATTTGCCCCATGCTACAAAGTCTGAAATGCATCAGGAAATGTATCCAAACCAACCAAACTCACTGCCATTGAGTCGGATCCGACCCCTAATGATCCCTCCTTGGGTTTCTGAGGCAGTATCTCTACTGAAGTAGATTGCCTAATCTACCTTCCTAGGAGTGGCTGGTGGATTTCTAGCCTTCTGGTTAGCACTCAAATGCCTTAGTCACTATGCCACCAGAGTATAGTCATATTATTTAATACTATGGAATAATTTATTACCCTAAAATGTAATCAAATTGATCCATTTTCTTGGATAATATCTGCCTACTACTTTTATAACATTAACCCATATAGTCACACAGGAGTAATGACCATTCAGTATGCAAACTCACCTTTTTAAAAGTTTTGAAGCAAAGTGAATGTGACTATCGCTTTGGAAATAATCTTCCATCTTCTCTAGTTTGCCTGACAGCACTTCAGACGCATGAGATTAGCTTCTGAAATGGAAGAAATCATCCTTCCTCATTCTAATTTGTTCTGACCTTCAAACTCAGCTTTTATATTTGTCCTGTTCAGATTTGCATGCCCGAATCCACCAATAGGTGGGAGTATGTAAATTTAATAAAAGGTGATTATGTTATTCAGAGCACTATCAAAATAGGTAAAGTTTAAATAAAGGCAACACACATGTAACTCTAAGGACATGCCTTTGAAATTTACATTTATATTTAAAGTGTTAGTGTAATATGTCCTAAACTTCCTATGTTGTTATGACAACTGCTTCAGTCACTGAATTTATTTTTTTCATCCTTTCTAAAGCAAATGAACACATAATATCTATGTCAACAACTTTTCCTATAGGTAATCTTTTAGTGTAATTAGAAATGATAGTTTACTGATTGAAATCAGGTGTTAAGTTGACAAATTTCTGCATTTATACTATGATGTAGCATTTCAATGTAGTCATTTTTCACACAGTTAATTAGTTTATAGTTTGGGTGATCACTCTTGAGTTTCTTTTGCCCTGAATTACTTGAATGATGTTTTCCATAAGTCAGTATTTTCTGATTTGTACTATTAAAACAAAAGTTTCAAACTATAAGTACTATTTCCAACTTATTATGAAAAAAGTAAAATTATGCTTAGCATAACTATGTTTCCTTGGTTGTCTAAGAAAGCACAAGGTTATGACTGGAATACTTATTAATCATGTCCCCTTTCATTCATAATACTATCATGCAATTTGGACTATGCCTTATTTGGTCATGTCATTATTTGCTCCAATTCATTTGATAAGCTTCAGTTTCTTTTGTGGCTAACTATGTAATTTAGAAAATAATTTAAAATTTTGATTAGTAAAAAAAATAGATTTGAAATAATTTAATTAAAGTTTTAATGAAACAGAAAATTCAGATTTAAGAGCATTGGAAAATAGGATTTAATTCTCTTAAGTACATGACATATAGTTTTAAGGATTTTGACCCTGATGAAATATAAATTTGTGCAGAAATGTTTGAGTATTTGGACAGAAACTGAGTTTGTGATGAAAAATAATGAAGAGAGTATCGGACAAAATAATATTGGAAAATAGTTAATTAGATAATCTACTTGAAATGAGTGGAATATCATAGGTAAAAGATTGACCTAATAAACATGGTTTTATAATATTTGTTTTAAAAAATAAAACAAACAACCACTGGCTAGATTAAAATGATTCAGTTATACTATTTAACATAATTCTTGATTTTAAGAGCTATACATATATATGATATGTGATTTTTACATCAGTTGCACATTTTTATTATAAACCTATTAAATGTCAGACAGTGAGCAGGACATATAGTTTCTGTTCTCATTATGCTCACAGTAGGTGTCAATAAAAATCTTTTTTCATTGTAAATAAATGAAACAGTTGAAAATCATAAAATCTGCACAATTGAATCTTGGCATTCTGATTTATAATTCTATATGTTTTGTAAGAGTGGAACAAAATTGATATATCATTTTCTCCACTTTGGCTTTACCTACTTTATGAGAAAATTGATTCCTTTTAGGGGATATATTTACACATTTTTAATTCTGCAGATAAAAAAATGAAATAAACATAGAAAATGAGAACTAGCTTTAAATTTTTTAAACTAAAAACTCCTTTTGGTACACTTTTCTCTATTATATGTTGGTTTTGATATATATAATTAGAATTTAGTAAATTAAATATGCAGCAAATCATTTACAGATTTTTCTGAAAAACTGTCATGAAATAAAAATGGTAACATTTTTTTTTTTTTTTCCTGAAGAATGTTGAGGAAGTTCTCAAATGATGAGTTCATTCTAAAAGGTATTGGGAACTCTTCCGTAGCTATGTCCCTGATTGCATATCAGAACTGTAACAGAATGCCTGGATTGCTGTCAACACCTTCAGAAGAACAACATTGTACATTGCTGCTACTGAGTCAAAGGGAAACTATTGGGTCTACTAAGTGAGCGCTTATGTTGACTGTAATTTTAAAAGTATTACATATTTCTTTAGCTCCAACTCTGCAACAATAATATGTATTCTTAATTATGTAATATAAATAGTGAAGTAGGGATTGTTTTGCAGATAATTTTAAATAATTTATCTCCACATAATTGGTAGTTAGTATATAACGTATACATTTCCCATATAAAACTGACATACCAAGGTGGTTAATAAATAATAGAATGACTAAAGATCAAGATAGCACTGAAATATTTTGACACTACATGGATCAGGTGTGAGGGCACAACTTGTTTTCAATTGTATTTGTTTATCTTGCAATAATGTGTGTCTCTAAACTCCAAAAATCAGCCTCTTTTCTTAGAGTTTTTTTTTTTTTTTTTCTTTTCTTTTTCACAGCACGGAAAAGGATATGCTAGTCAATTCTACGGGACTTACCTGAAGCAGCATGATTTGCACAAAGTCGACCAACAAAAGCATCAACTTTTCAACTTCATTATCTTGGCCATCCAGTTAGTTCTGTGCAACTGAGTGTTAGATTGCCAGCACAGTCATCGTGGCCAATTAAAGGACCTAATTGCTCTCAGCAGGCCTGAGAAATGAGTTGAAATGTGCAGAACTGTAGAAACTTTAGAGGCAACTGATCTTGCCTCTCCGATCAGTGTGTGCCTGTTTACAGCACTATATATCTTTCTCTCTCCAAATGTCACTGAGCCCTTTAGATGTTTATATTCACCACGAGAAGCCAGTCATAAAGATAAAGGAAATTTGTGCATTATAAATGCAATATCACTGTTTTAAACTTGACTGTTTTATATTATTTTTGTGTGATCAAGTGTTTCCCAAGCTATTCCAACTTTACAAGAGAGATTGTGATTATGTTCTTTTCACCTGTGGGTTATAAAAAATGTTGTATTCTGAAGACCCACAAAAATATCAAAGACATTCTGTAGTTTATACACCGTGTTGCAAAGTGTTTACTGTACTATTTCAAAGCTTCTAAATAAATATAAAATATATATATTATATTATATAATTTTCCTAAAATGTGGTACAACTTAGTTGGTTTTTAAATGGATTCATACTGTCCACATCATACAATAAAGTAAAAGGTAATTCAGGGTCCCAAAGATAAACTTTCTGAGAAAAAAAAAAAAAAAACATCATTAATAGTTTCCTTCCAGCTTCCTTCCAGTTTTCATATCCTAGTCAACCCTGTTTTTCCTTGTTTAAAAGAAAAATGATGCTCTAAGCTACAAAATTTTGTCAAAAACTCATACTGAATTTTCAATGCCAAAGATGTAGCTGTCAATGTTATCAGACTGAGCACTGAACATGTACTATCAAACTATCTTACAATCTTCATTATTTCAATTCTATTTCTATGGCTTTGAATTTTGAATCACTTAAAACTTTTATAAAGAATCTATAAATTCATCTGCATAAGTTGTTAGAGAAAAAAAAAAGAACACTGAGTGTCTGTACATTTTGTGGTATAAAATATGTAATTGAAGATTACTATTTTAACATGTCCTCATCATTTAACTCACACAGAGTTTTATTTTACATAGTTTTGTTGTTTAATTAAACATGAATATAAAATCTATTTATAACTCTATATGAATATATAGAGATAAATAAATATTTGAACTGATAAAGAAAAGCTATAACATATAAAGTATCCCTAAATTAAAAAAAAAAAAAAAAACAGTTAAATAAATTTGAAGATAGAAACATGGTACATAATTGTTTCACTATTATTTTATGTGTGAACATTAATAACAAAATTAGTGTTTTATTAATGAGAAAATCCTTCATGAGTCACAGCCTTGAAAAGTAAAGCTTGCCATTTATTTTTATGTCAAAAGTTAATTATTAAATTCAATGAGATGCATTTTACTTTCTTTTACATATATTTTTTTAACTGTTGCTTATTGCTTGTTGAAACAAAGTAAGAGAGGGAGAGATCAGAAAATTTGACCCAATCTTCCAAGCAAAGAACAGTATCATACAGTTCCCCTTTAAAAATCTTTCAACATTATATCTAAATGTTTGCCCATGCTAAATTACAAACCGATTTTGATATATTTTCTTAATTTTAAGGGGTCTTATTATATTCAATGATAGATTGAGCTGGACTATATTATTGAAAAATAGACTAAAACGTAACACTTAAAAATATTTCCCATCTGTTTTATGAAATTTAAATGAGGTTTTACTTTAGTTTTAAAAGTAAAATGCATGCCTATGTTCATAGATCTTTGATGTATGTATATGAGTGATATCTTTGTATTACTCATTTAGTTGTTATCAAATTAAATATTTATATGTCATTAATCCCAACCAGTTTACCTTTAAAAATAATGTGTGTAATGTTCCAGTCTTTTGGATATTCTTAAAAAATACATAAAATTAATTGATCATATATAATACAAAAAGCACATACATTCCCTAAGTGCATTTTACCAACTTTTTGGCATTTCTACATTAATATTTTGAATGATAGACTATTTTATTAAGAAAATGTTTCTATATAATTTAATTGGGAAATAGTCTGTTGTAATTGCTTTTTAAACAAGAAAGTGCTTTTCTTGTTGAATCAATCTGCTTTAATTAAAACCTTTTAGGCATTGTGTTACAATCATGGGAAAAATACATATCCATCTTCCTTATTACATGCCATTGAAAATAAGATTATACCTACTTTACAGAAAATATAATGGCTATATCAATTAATTTGATTTAAATACATGTTAAAAATTATGTAGCCATTCTCCTTATTGTTGTATATAATCTCCCTTGAGCAGCTTCTTATATATTATGCATTGGTTAGTTTTTAAATATATCATAGCTACCAGTTACACTAATTTTTATTTTAGAACTCAAATTATATCCTCTATTTACCAAGAAAACTGTAACAACAACAACAACAAACTTTTTATCAAATTTGTGAGACAAATAACATTATTTAAATATAAAATAATAAATGATTAAGTTATTAATAAACTATCTATTGAAAGAAAAATAAATCAGGATTTACAACAGAGTAAGGACGGTTTGAGTAAATTGGCTAAAATGTCATTTACAAATGAAGGGAACTATGAAATTGATAAATGCAACCAAGAATTACTAAAGCTTTCCAGTCAAACATTTATTGGATTAGTATGTCACAAAATTTTAGAATAGGCTTTCATTTTAACCTTGTCATCTTAATATCCAATCTGCCATAAATACTATATACATCAAAGAAAAATGATACCTATATTAGACATTCTTTCATTTTTTCAGAATAAAATAATCATGACACCTACTCTTTGTTAACATAGTCAGTTTAAAGCAGTAAGAAGTCAACAAATTTTCCTGTGGAAACAATATCATAATGTTTCAAAGGTATGTCAAATGACAATTTTCAGATATATTTCATCCACATGTAACATTCTAATTTTTAACTTGTGAACATAGTTTTATGAAACAATTTAAAATCAAATATTAAAACATCAGAATTACTTTACAGGTATAATGGTATCAACAATATAAATGTTTCATCTTTCTTGGGAAATATCAAGTAATATGTTTATTTTATTTAACGAAGATATTAAATGCAATGCCTTTATCAAACATTGCAAATTAAGTACCACAGTAGAAGATCTAAGTATTTTAATCCTGTTTTATTTCTTAATAGTTTTAAAATTTGCAGTCAGATGTTCTATAATGTAAATTTTTTCTTTCATCTCCACTAAGAAGGAGGACAAAAAATTCCTTGCAATTTTCTATGTAAATTTAATAACTGTGCAAAAGCTGTACTGTTTTACTTTCCAAAACTTAACTGGAGTTAAATTAATCTTTAATATAATTCAGTCATAATGTGGCAAATGTTAGCAGGACAAAGAAATTCATTCATGTTATTGACTAATAATAAGCAGTGTTACATTTCATTGCATGTTTTTTTTTTCTCTCTCATATTTCTATGTGTACTTTTAATACCCGAAGAACTCAAAAATATTTAAAACATTGATATACTTGATGATTTTTCTGAAAATCTTATATTTTTCATATTGTAAGTTTTTGGGTTCTTTAGCTTTTTCAATTCTAATTTTGTAGTGGCAAAGGCTTTGCACTTAACATCCTTTTTATTTTCCTTTTTAACAAGGAAAAACAGAAAATGACAAAATTCCATATTTTTTACACCATGGAGTAGTAAAATTATTTTATATATTGTTAGTACTTCAAAGAATAACCCTCTCCAAAGTCAAACAAAATCCTTATATAGTAATTTGTGAAACTGTTCAGTAGAATATTTTTTTCTTCTAAAACTTAGCATAGGTTTTAGATTTTAGCATTCTATTAGAATGCAAGTAGTTGGGTGCCGCCAGAGTATTGCAGGCAATAATATGACAAAAATTCTAATACTTTTAGTGTGCATGCATGTATTTCTAACCACTGTTATTTTTTAATATTTGTAAAATTATAAAAATGACTTTTATTTCTTGAAAACTTGTCACATGCTTAGTTTGAAGTTTACACTCCAGATGTTTTTGAGGTGTGTGGAAATGTTGCATTAATGATGCAAAATATATTAAATTTTCACATGAGTCTTAAAAACTTCTGAATGATAGAATTCAGGCTTCCAATACATCCATACCAGTTTAAGCTGAAAATAAGCAGGGAATTTCAGCTCTAAACACATTTTTTGAGACAGTTATCTGTGAGTGAAAACAGGGTATTATACATGAGTTTCAATCTTAACTATAGTGTTTGTTACTGTGAATGCTATAATAATACATAAGTAAAATGAGTGTAAATGTAATATATTATTTTATACTGCTGTATACATATGAAATAAATAAAACTAGGATACATATTACACCATTTTCCATGCATGGATCTTCCACTGACGCCCTGTGGGAGCTTTGAATAAATATCACTGGCAAATATGGCCCTAACTTCAAAAACAAATAACGTGAATTTAGTAATGTAGATCTTAATATAACAGGTCTAAGGGGACATCTGTTCAAAATGAGTCTTATTTGAAGGAACATATGCCTAATTGTCAAAGATTTCACTATATTTATGGTTTTCAAATGAGGCTGTTCTATGTGATTCTTACAATACCCACAGCAATCTTTAAAATACATATTTTTCCATCTGAAGTTATATTTTACTTTTACTTTTTTGATATATAGTAATACAAAGGGTCTACAAAGATTAATATAGAGGTTGTGTTCAAGATAAAAGTGCCTTCAAGCAATAAAAGAAAACTATTTGATCTAAAATTTTAGAAACAAATTATTTTATGTTTCAGGTTGATGAAAATAAAAGTAAGACAAATTCCATACAGGTATCATTTTCCCAAATGAAAATAATTCAATCAGAAGCATTCCTGTCAGGAATTAAAAAAGGTAATGACTGAATACATTAATGATGGAAGATGAAAAAAATAAACATGGAGGATAAAGGGAAATTTTAATTTTGCAGGAATGAAAATCATGGTCTTGATTTCAGCATATCATTGAATTACAGTACAGGTATTTTTATAAGTAAAACTAATCTGAAGTAATCTTACAGAAATTTGGGTTCTAAAATAGCTAAAAGGAAATAGAAGAAATGCATGCTCCTTCATCTCATGTGCTTTTGTTTAACTGCTTTTTATGAATTTGAACTACAAATATTTAGTGAGAGGATCACTTTTTGAGATAAGGGAGAAGACTAGCTATTTTTCTTGCTATGAACACTTAATAAAGATAACTATATGATGGAAAAGAACTGAAAATATAGACAAGAATGATAGTTTTTGATAAAATGCTATCAGCTATAATTACAAATGGCCTTGTTTCTTCTGTAGACCATCTCCTATCCCATATTTACAACCTATTCTGAATTTATCATGGACTGTTTCATTTAGTCAAGGTCATGCATTTTCCAAGGTAAAATTAATTTCACTGCATTCAAAATATTTATTGAGGTTCCAAGAATAGGGAATGTAAAAATGCACACCTTCAAGAAATCTGCCTTCAAGAAAATTCTAACCTGATTTGGGAGCCAAAGAATTTATAAAAACAATATTTTAATAATAAATAATTTTAAAAATTATCAGAACCCATCAGTGAGTCCCTAAGTGCTTTAATGCACTGGGATCAAAACATGAAAAGCAAAACTGTGAATAGGTTTACAAATAGAATAGAAAGATATTAAAACACATTTCATAGTAAAATTCAATACTATCTGGTGAAATTTATAGATACATGTGTGAAATAGGATGCAATGTGAAATGTATTTCGTACTCTGAATCATTTCCCAAAATGCTTTATGTCTATTTCAAATTTAAACTTAAATTACTTAATTATACAGAAAGACAGAAACAATCTTTTCAAACTTACTTCACTTCTAAATCTTAATATTTGCCATTTATAATATATGGATAAGTAAACCTAATTGCAGAGTTTTTTTTTTTCTTTTAATAAGAATTATTTGAACTGATGACATAAAAGGCAAAGCATAATCTAACATACATTGTTAGATTTTATTATTATTTTCCACCACATTTCCCCTATTCTTGGTTACTGAAAGCATAGAAAACAATCTACAAATTGAAATAATTGATTTTTCAGAATTCCAGACTTCTGTAGAGTTATATCTGAACAGTGCTAATTTCAAAACCTCAAGATGAATGTAGACTTGGCTTTGATATTTACTCAGCAGCTCCTCTCACTTTTGCCTCTCAACCTACTGATCAGTAGTTTCTAGAAATAAAGTTCACAGCTGACTAGTCTCTAGTCATCTGCCACAATTCCCCTTGCAACTATCAAATTGCTCTTATTCCTACTATTAATAAATGTTGTTGCTGTTGTTATGTGCCTTCAAGTCGGCCCTGACTCATAGCGATCCCTCCTTGGG